GTTTAGAGGGAGGCTTAGTCAGACTACACATATTGCTTACCCTATCTATTGGGTTGTTGGTTCAAATCGAACCTAAGGAGCTGCTCTGGGTTCAAAATTATAGTTATACGGTATGTGGGCATTCAATTCTAATTAGCAATAGGATGTTGTACGAACCATTTGTTGCTTGACTCACTGCTTGTGAACCTTCACATTCCGCCACTTTTCCATTCATTTCCAAAACTGATCTTAAAACACCATGCAAGATGTTGTTGCAATAATCGAAACAACAATCGAGGGGAGTCATGTGTGTGATATAGGAGTTGTCATTGGTGGTCACATTGGGCATTCAGGGTATTGGGAAGGAGGCATGGGCATCTTCAAAGGCGGACACCGCAACGGTCCAGTTCACTGTTATGGATTACCAGACAGGTCGGGAGGCTCGTCTAAGCAATTGTTCATGTCGGACGTCATGACCAACCTCCCAGATTTTGTAGTCGCATCAATTTGGCTGAAGAGGCAACATCATACCAGCATTGCAACAAAGGTGACAAGGGTCAGGTATGAAGAGAAACTTTTGGGGTGATGTGACATCAGCGCACAACTGGCACTTGACTGGGGACATGTTGCACCTACGGCGCCAGAACCAGTCGTCCACATACAACGGTTCCAAGGACGGAAAGGATGATGCTCATCTTGCGGCTGGGTGGGGTGCAGTTGGGCCTCCCACTATAGCAGCAGACATCTCCCATCACACATCTGCTGTTGGCTGGCTGTTCGACACAAAAAGAGCACTGATGTCATTGGCGACAAGGGGTGGAGTACCGTTTACAGAGCTCCTCTCGTCAGCTGCAACTATGTTTGACAACAGTTACAGGAAAATTGACCGGCACGGGGGGCCGGGCGGCTTCTCAGAGGGGCAAAGCGAGGGTATAAACTCAGATACAGTGCACAGACTGGTCCACAACCTACTAGCCTCCTAGTTGTCATGGCACAGAAGCTGCTGATACCCTTTAGACCCCTTCTTAGCGGATATGATGGTTGCCATTTTGCAGATCAATGGAAAAACGTTTACAGAGCAGGCCAAGTAAACAGGCCGGGCTGGTGCAGAACCCCACAGTCACTCCCTCGGTTTTCTGCTGTTGTAGGTGCTTCTGTGGGCAGGGGTATGACATCAAAGTTTGCTGGACGAGGATGCGATTGTGCGCCCAATGGGATGGGCCATGGACGTCCACGGTCAGTAAACATTCATATCTACTTGGCTCAGTGTTCGGTGCCCGCCGGAGCTAGCTGCAGCAATGAATTTGGTACTCCCTTGGGTTGTGAGCAGCGCAGCTTACCAGAAGAGATGTCCAAGTTGCACCAAGGAAGAGATTCATGGACATAGGAGGAAGCCATCACACAGATTCACACCTATCCACCACTGCAAGATGGAGATGCGAGCCAATATGGAATTGGCGTTGTTCTCCAGCAGCATGATGGAGAGAGGTATAGGCCCGTAGAATTTATGTCTTGCAGGCTACCTAGTGAGAAAGTTGCTGCTTCAACATATGAGTGTGAGCTGTTCGTGCTGAAGGAACCACTAGACCAATGGCGATAATCAGTGTAGCTGTTTTTCCAGGTGATTAAAGCATGTGCCCATTCGATGGTAGAGGTTGCCGATTGCTTCCAGAAGAGAGGGCATAACAAACCTGCACACATATGCATGAGGAAGTGTGAGAACATCATGTCCGCTTTCAGGACGGTATTAGACTTCTGCGCAGGTCTGTATTGATTCGCGTCAGAGAGGGCCTTCTGCGTGGGTCTGTATTGATTGGCAGACTCGGCCCTTCTGCGCGGGTCTGTATTGATTCGCGTCAGCCTAAGAACCCGGTAGAATGCAAGACAGTCTGAGATTTCGTGGGCTTTCGCCCAGCCCAAGTGGCTGCTTGCTTCCTACATCTAATTTATGATGTAACTGTTAGCCAACAGATCCCGAGTTCAAATCGTCAGGGATGTCAGGCGCTGCCCCCCTTGAGAAAGTAGAGAGAGGGGAAATTTAAAGAAGAAATAACTGCGCGGGTGACCGTGTGACTGCTGCACAGTAACTGTTTGGAATTGGCAGGAAGAAATAACAGTAACAGTAACAGGGCACAGTGACTGCGGCTCTGGCTGGGCCGAGGGAGGGCAGTTAGCAACTGCAAAAAGCAGAACTGGTACTGTAACATCTTTGTGCACTTTTTTTTTTTTTTTAACAAGAAACAGTAGTTTTATTAGGGCCCAGTGCCCAAGGCAAAAAACACAATGTCAAAGAACTGCAGATTCAGGGGTCGCAAAGCAAGGTCTCCAATCCCGCTTCGTAAGTGTAGAAAACCACTGTCTTCCAAAAGAGAAAACACTACTAAATGCAGCAAAAATCCTACTTGGAGTTTCAACTAGTGCTGCAAGTTGCGTAGAAAATCGCGACAACAGAAAATCCTAATTAAGGTTTCTAGTAATTCCTAGGTCCCACCACCAACCCTAACCGTCATGAACCCGAAATCCCTAAAAAACATGTAGGCTGGTTTTCATTTTTGCCTAAATTCAGAAAAGCACCAATCACCAACATATTCCAAGCATTACGCAACATTGACAACACAACCCCTAATCCTCCAACATGAAAACGCATGAAAATACCTAGGCAGATAAGAAATGCGAACTGTCTAAAATGGCAATTCGTAAGCCGAGAAAATTCAGAAGAAGCACCAATCACCAAAATATTCCAAGCGTTATGCAAAATTGACAACACAACCCCTAATCCTCCAAACACGAAAATGCATGAAAATACCTAGGCAGATAAGAAATTCGAACTAATACAACACAACCCCTAATCCTCCAACACGACAACGCATGAAAATACCTAGGCAGATAAGAACTTCAAACTAATACTAATATTAACCTCTTAAAATGAAACAAAGTATAAAAAGCAAAAGTCTTCAGCAAGTCAGCACATAGTTTTCCTTGGCAAAGGAACAAGACGTATGGGAAACCATAATTCCCCTGGCCAAGCCACTCAGCGTACCGGAGAACCAATCCATGCTAATCAAGGAAGCACACAGCCGTCTCGATGGAAAAAACCTTGGCAAATAAAACTCCATATCACAGTAGATGGAACAAAATATAAAGACCAGTCTTCTTCAGCAAGTCAGCACATAGTTTTCCTTGGCAAAGGAACAAGACGTACAGGAAACCATAATTCCCCTGCCCAAGCCACTCAGCGTGCAGGAAAACCAATCCGTGCTGATCAAGGAAACTCACACCCGTCTAGATGAAAAAAAAAAAAAAACTTGGCAGTATTAATGTGTTGTTTGAGAAACCAGCAGCGCCAATCACGCCCTGATCTTGGTTGCATATAGCGTATAACAGGAGAGATGCACCAGCACTCCAAGTCTTCCGTTTATCGCACACAATGCACTAGACCTACCGCCAGCAGTCACTCCTTCTCGTCGGGGCATGCCGGACAAGCTCCACATCCACAACGCATAGACATGGTCGCAGTGGGCCGCTAGAGCGGACTAGGTATGGTGGCCTTAGCCTGGGCAAGACCCTAGCTCTAGCGCCAGCAACTTCGGGCACTCAGCGCTAGGCCGCTCAGCGATGCGCCGCTTGCTAGTGCCTCCCCTGGCGGCGCGTTAGCGCTGCGTTACCGCAGCGCTAACGCGCGTTGTCTGGTAGCTTTGTGCACTTCTAGCCGTTGGAAGTTCGGAAGTGGCAAAATCAGGCAGCCAGTCGTGTGTTTGTTTTTTTTTGTTTGTATTTTTTTTTTTTCCTGCGCCTGTGATTTCTTTTTCTTTTTCTTTTTCTTTTTCTTTTTTTCTTTTCTTTTT